ACTTTGAACTAAAATCATGCTCTTCAAAATGCAGCAAGATGCTCCCAAACCTAGTGTGGAGCTTTTTGCCTTCCACAGAGCAAGACCTCTGCTGTTTTACATGTGGGCCCTGAAGCTGTAGCTGGCCCTTATTGCCCCCACCCCCCTGCCACTGACGTAACCCACTGCATGTCCTGCAATGAGATGGGGAAGCCTCTGTGGTGGGTACCTACCCCTTGCACACCATCAGGGATGTTGTAGGCAACACAGAGTGTTAGGTCTTGATAGTAGCCAGGCAGATTCCGAGACAGGGTGGAGATCTTGAACGTCCCCAAGATTTTGTGGCTTGGGACAACTGAGGAGGAGCTGCAGCAAGCTGGCTGTGTCCTGTCTGCTGCAAAACATGTCCTGCACAAGGCATGACCACAGGGAGCCTGGCAGGTCACACCTGAGCCCTGGCAAGCATCACACCGGCCCAGAGGGGTCTTGCTGCCTTCCTGCCCAAGGCTGGGACTTCTTCTCTGCTCTGATGAGGGGCCTGGCTCCTCCTGCATGTTGCTCCTGTCCACAGGGAGCAGGGCCCACTCTCGGCCCCTGGGCTCTGCTGCAGGCAGCTGCTCAGCTGTAGCCTGGGGGGAATCAGCAGCTGCAACCCTGCAGAGCCAGGTGGGCAGGGAGTGAGGACCACCATCTGCTGCAGGAACTGGAGACCGCATCGCTTCATTGTGGCCTCCTCTGCTTTTGTCTCTTGCAAACTGGAATCTATCTGGCAAAACCTGTTTTAACGGTGTGATGTCAGACTGCCCCACATGCAGTTTTGTCTTTGGCTGCTCCTGGGAGTCCCTCAGACCAGCAGGACTCAGGTTATCCACTGTGCTGGGGCTAACAAGGCTGCTTTCTCTTTGCACAGCCCCAGAATCAACATGGTCATTGGCCTCCTCCAGCCCCTGTGCCTGCTGGAACCTCCAAGGACTAGGGGACCTGTTTTCCTCAGTCTCTGGCAGCCAGAAAGCCTTGGGCACGTCTGCGTCATCTATTTCATTGCTAATGCTCAGGTGCTGCAGGCCCATCTGTAGGGAATCCAGGTTGCCTGGAAGGACTGCACCCAGCTCCTTGTCCTGGCATCTGCTCAGCTGGATGACACTTGAATGCCCTGTACTCTCTGGTCCTGGAGACAAGGATGAAGACTTCAGACCACGGAGCCTCCTGGCAGAAAACATCTGGAAGGCCTCGGTCACTCCTGGCAGCATTTCCTTGGGGCAGACAAGACACAGCTTGTACTTGTCTTTGCTGAGTCCAACCTGGAGGGAATTTCCTTGCAAGAGGCTGCACAGTTCACCCAAGGCACTGTCATCTGGACCATCGACAGCAAGCTCTGAGTAGCTCATACTCTGACACACAAGGTCAGGACACTTCTGCACAAGAGCTTCCACCATCCACTTAGCCTGGATGAGCGTGGACCTGTCCTCTGCCTGTAGTGTCAGCACAGTGCAGTCCCCAGCACGACGTTCCGAGATCCGCACCATGCCATCCCTGCACAGCCTCTCGAGAGCAGAGCGGCACACGTCTTTCAGGTAAGACCATTGCAGAGAGTCCAGGCTCATTTCTTCACTCACCCGATTGCCTCCACTGCCTGCCCTGCCCCTGTCCTGGGACTTGTCACTTTCCTTTGACCTTGGCAGGGAGAAGCTGTTGGAACGTCGCCGCATAGGCCGGGATTCAGAAGGTTTAAAGTCTAAAGCAGAAGAGGTCCTTGTCATGTCAAAGGTAGTAGACAGGCTAGTGAGGGGGTGGGGCTTGATGGGACCTGAGCCTTTAACATCCCCAGGATGCCTCCAAGTGCCATTTTCTTTGCCTCCAAAGGGAGACAGAGCTTTGTGTCTTGTATGGTGGGCATCTTGTTTCACATGGTCCCATTCTTTGGGGTCCTTCTGCTGAGACTCTGCTGCTGACCCCAAAACAAAATCATTTGTAGAAACATGAGGCTGGAACTGCTGGGTCTGTGCTGTTGGGTCAGCTGGACTGAGAGCATCTCTCTCTGGTAAGTGCCTTCCAGAAAGCTGCACCTGTCCCACTGGTGGAGGGTCCTGATGCAGCAAGACACCCTGGCTGGCCTGAGATCTGTCAGCTTTCAGAGTACTAAAGTTGGCAGCTAGCTTGAGCTCACCTTTCAGCTCCAGCCTGCCCGGGCTGAGCCTGGAGGGTGAGGAGTCCACAACCACCTTGGGCTTCTGCAGTGCAGCCTCTGTGGTGCGGGAGGTTGCTGGGTATGAGGGCTGGGAGCCGCTGAGCATGCCAACCATGTGTGCAGCACCTCTCCTGGTGCTGAAAGCTTGAAGGTTCTGCTTGGCCTGGGAGACATCAACAAGGTTTCCAATAAGATAAAGCTGCTTCACATCCTCATGGCAGAGCAACTGGGGGTACAGTTTCTTCAGCTCATGTGTCAGAGCCCTGAGTGCCTGGCTGTCCAGACCCAGTTCTTCTTTGGCGAACTTCTCCTTGCGCAATCTTGCCTCCAGCTGCTGGTAAAGCTGCTGCAGGGCCAGATGGGCCTGTCGCAGGGTGTCCATGTTCCCAGACACACCTGCAGGTAGCTGGAGGTACACTGTGGCGATGCCATCACCACTAACATCCACCACATCCACGCCGTACTTGCGTAGCACACCTTGGTACTCAGCAGCACAGAACCTCTGCATGTACAAGTAAATGTCCAAGTCCATCACTAGGGAAAAGTCCTCCAGCTGCTCCACAGATTCCCCATCCACCAGGCTCTGAGGTGATGGGACTTTAGCTGCCTTTTCACACACCCGGTCCCAGTTTGGCAGCTTAGCCATTTCTCCTGCTGACTCAGGAGAGTCAGGCACTTGCTGGTGATCAAACATTCTGGTTTCTTTGGCAACTCTGCCAGAACCTGGCAGAAGCAGCTCTCCAGCAAGCTGGCTCTTGAGGTTCAGGCTCCCCAGCAAGTCCCTGCTGAAGGCCTGCAGCTCCATGAATGGTCCCTTGACTATGCAGTGTGTGTTCTTGGAGTTGAAGTCAAAGAGAACATTGCTGTAGCCTTTATGCAAGTTCTTCAGGAGGGTTTTGCCATCAGGAAGCTTGCTGTAGTCAACTGTCACACAAGCGCGTATGAAGATCTGGAAGTAGATGTCAAGTGAAAGAACAAGGGTCAAAAATAACCTCCCCTGCAAGGCACAGGGGGAGGCAAATCTACTGACACTTTCTATAGCCCCTGCATTATGACGACAGAAGAGAGACCATGATCTACCACATCTCTCTCAGCATCCTGCTTTCAAATGAGACAGGAGCATAACTCAGGCAGGACTGAGTCCAAGCCACCTAAGCAATGCTTGGCCCTTGTACCCATAGTCAAAAGCTTCCTGCAAACAAGGAAGCCAGGGGTGGGGTGGGAGGGAGCAAACTGTGCAGAGATGCAGCCCCACTGCATCCTGGGGAGCTTTGCAGACAGCCCAATCCCAAGAAATTCCCTGTCCCTTCTGTATCTGAAATGTATTTCCCCTCTTACTCTCACACAGACCTTCAAGCAGCCTGGCACCACTGGCCTGCAGAAAGGTCAGCAACGCCAGGTTAACTCCCACAGTTTCTGTTTTCAGTGCTCAGACCTGAAAACATGAGACATGGCTCCTGCCGTGCTCTCCTGAAACTGGAGGAAGAGGCACGAACTCACCGATGCCTCCTAGACCCCTGCCTGGGCAGGACCCATCTCTCCCCCTGGTACCTCATCGGGGCTCAGCTCAGCTTCGTGCGCCGTCACCTCCAGCGGGTACTGCTTCCCCCCGACCGACAGCACGTGGCTCTTCACCTCCAGGATCCTCTGGGCCACTGGGTGGGGAAAGCCGTCAGCTCCCGCACCCACGCAGCCCCGCGGCTGCCCCGGGCCCTCGGGAGGGCAGGGGAGGGAGCCGGGCCGGGTGCTCAGTGCCCACAGCTCTCGGGCCGGGCCGTTCGTTACCTTCCAGCGCCTCGAAGGTGAGGAGGGCGCAGG